ATAAAGATATATAAAGAAAAAAACTCTTTTTTTTTTTTAAATTTCACTAAATATACAATGTACTTATTTATAGGCCTTTACAAGAGAATGTTCTATGATACAAAATCAATTAACCTAATTATATCAATCAATTATAATGTGAAGTCAATCAATATAATTATAATATAAATATTCTATAATAGTTTATAAAAAACTCCCTGACCTCCTTTTCTCTTCTTACACAACCTGTGAATCAATTTGGTATGCTGCGATGCAATGTGATACTCCACCATTTCATTATACTACAACTCCTGATCCAGTGTTGTTCTGCATTCACATTGGCTTCAATTACAAGGGAGAAGGTTTCTTTCTAAAGTGTGCATTAAAATACTCGCTATTTAGTAATAATCATAACTCTCCAAGATAGATACAAAAACAGCCTTTGAGAATTGATATGATCTGCGGTTAAGCATTATCATTATAAACTACTTAAAATTGGCATAGAATTCACATCCCTCTCATTCGCTTCATGGAGCCCCCATACTGGACGTACCAAAAAATGGACAATATCTCTTTACATAAAAGATAAAGTCAATATATGGTAGTCCTATGAGGGACCAATCCGAACACCACCGCTAGTTAGGTGGCCGAACATCCAATCGTAGGATGACTGGTCGATCGGAATAATACTACTTTCCTTTTTTGCCATCCTTTGCTAGATAACATCATCACTGGCATTGTATTAAATACTTTGATATAGAAATTAATGCATTCTCTTGGACCACCATGAAGGTACAATGTATTCTAGTGTTGTAAGATTGACGAATGAGGATTTGTCACATAGAAAGAAACCTTGGATAGTTATAAATACACCCCCAACTACCACTTATGAGGTAGATTTATTGCTCCTTTAGTGTTTTTTTTAGCATAACAACCCATTTTAATCTAAAATCGCCTATGTATTGGTTTGGGCGTCCGAGTGTCTATTCAAAGATACAACCTTAGGTCTTGTAGGTGTGCTGGTCCAAGCCGTCATTGTTGCTACCGTGGTATACTGTTCTTCATTTGAGCTATTTTGAGCAACTACAAGTCCCGCAAACCTCACGGGAACAATACCGGAAAATTTCAGTAATTAGTTTTCATTACCATTGCTAACGATCAATAAACCCAATAAAAAGTTTAGTAATTTTGTTAACGAAGCAGTGACATATATACAAAAGTTAAGATTACAAAACCTATTAAGTGACTACCATGGCATCTAATCTGAGCCTCAACTTGTCCTAAGAATAACTGGAGTATTAATTAATTTCTAAGGTTAACTTTAACGTATGAAACAGAGAAAATGATGCAGCACTACAAAGGTTGGAATTGGATACTCATGGCTCTGAGAGGAATGTGCTCCTCAAGAAACCCCTCAAGATGATTTTCCAGGACCGACTTGTTGATGTTCTCATGGTGATTTTCCAGGACCCGTGCTGTACCATCCAACAACATGCTCCTTGGCTGGAAATGTAAATCATCAATTTAATTAGCAAAATAAGATACTACACACAGTGTGTGTGAACCAAAAACGCTATTCAACTTGATACCATTTATTCTCTTAAACATGGAAAACATTGATTTATGGTAGTTGTGATCAGGAAACCAGATGCTTGGATCCTTCCCATCTTCTTCAAAAGGCACTGCAAATTAAGATTCAAATTACAAATTCCGTGAGTAATGCCTTTCATCTAGAACCAAAACAGCCTACAAAATTGTAATCATCTTAACATTCGGAATTATTTAAAATCTCTGATGTCTTAACTTCAATACCACAAGTTCATACTGAAATTACTGTTTTGAGGAAACTCAAAACATGAAATCATCATGCATGTCAAATTAATTCAAGCAAAATATTTAAAAAACAAAATTAAAAATCATAAATGAAGACTAAAAAATTTATGCTAAGAAATCAGGGAGATCAAAAGAGAGGAGAAAACGGACCTGCGTAGCTGTTGGTGACATCGACGGTGCCTTTGAAGGCGGTGCTGAGCAGAACGCCGACGACGCGTTTGCGAGTATCCTTGGTGGCTCTGTTATAGTTATCGACGACGCTGAGGAGAACCAGAGGGTGCACTATCACCTTCTCGATTGGCCTCGACGAGATCTGCTGAGTCTTTATCACATCCATCTCCGAATCCGATTCTGGTTTTTGCTTCTTCTCCAGGAAAACTCCGAGCTTGTTTCAGTTTTCAGAGTAATTTTGTTTCATTTTTTTGATTTTTTTTTTCTATTTTCTTTGAGTTTTTTTGTTTTTTCTTTTGTTTGAGCTAAGGATGGCGCATCTCAAATTTCTAAAGTTCTATGGATCGGATGTTCTGATCTACGGCCCGGCCTTATAATATTAGTAGAGTTGGACCAGTCCGGATCCGTTTCGGTTGAAATGTGGCCCAACCTGGACTGGATTAGAAAATAGAAATGGGCTAGAAAAAAAGACAAGGGTGAATTTTTTTTTTTTGTTTTTAATGTTATATAATCCGAAATATATTAAGAATTTTTTTTATTTAATAATTTTTATTTTGTAATTCGTTATAATAGAAATTATAAAAAAAAAAAAATTTTTTCGGCCGTCAGAGAAAAGGGTAAGTTTAAAAATTGGAAGTCGAGTTGAGTTCATTGCCTCATATATTAAAATCCATAAAATTAAGAGTCAAAAAAAGGAAGAAAAAAAAAAGGAAAATTAGGAAAAATAATGTCAACCAATCAAATTTTCTATGCCATTTTTGCTTTACCATATGAATATAATCCAACCAATTTCAACTAGTACCTGCAAATTGACAGATAAAATTACAAAAGAAGATATGAAACATTTCTACGAGCATACAGAGGAGAATGTTGAAAGCATTTCCAATATTTTAGAGGAAACTTAGAAAAACTATATATGACCATGTAAAATTTTTTCAACTACAACATCAAGATTGATCTATCGTTCCATATTTTCATTTCCCAACACAAAGATGACTTTCTTTCTTTCATTTTTCCCATTTTTCACATGAAGCTTAAACACAGATCCAATGGTGGATGATTCATCTCCGACCCAATCGAGTAAGGGAAAGTTGCAGCTGTCTCCCTGTATTCATTTGCATGTAGATGCGATCTCAGCCTCTCCTGTTCTGTCTCACCATTAGAATTTAAAGGGAAAAGTTGCAGAGTTTCAATAACCCTTTCTGGTTTATCACTAATCTCATTATTAACCTCTATAAATCCTGCAAAGTTCAAAGAAGAATTAGGTTCTCCGAGAAAAGAAAAAAAGAAAAAAGAAAAAGATAATTATAGTCAAGAAAGAAAAAATAGTGATGTTTATATTAGCTTACGTTTTGAAGAAGAAAACTTGTCTTCTTCACGAAATGG